CCCCAGCTCCTAACCTCTAGGCTGAGGACCGGGAGGTGGCCCAGGCAACATCTCAGCTCCTCATTGCTCTCTCCCAGTGCCTCTCCCATTGCTTAGCTGATGAAACCCAAGTGGCTCGCCCCAGCCGCTTGCCCCAAGCCAGCTGAATGGACCCCGTGATCAACAGCTAGTGTTCGCGCTCTCTTGCTGACAGGAACCGCAGTAAGATGTTTGCAACCACAGCAGAGCCGTCCACACCTCTTCTGTCCAAATCAGAGACCGTTTTCGCTTCAGATTTCTCTCTACCACCCTCCAAACCCAAAGGCATCACTCTTGTTCCCTCCCCTATTTCCACCCCAATTAATTACGGTTGGCACCTGCACTGTTTCTCTCCTGCAGAGCCAGCTCGTTCCTGGAGGGTGCAGACCACATCTTTACAATGAACCAAAGCTATCAAGAGATGTACTTCTCTCTCACCTGGAAGGTGGTGGGTGGCGGGTGGGGACCTGAAACAGGACTGCTCCATAGGGACCTCTCACTGCCTGGCCCCGTGGGCTCCATTTTCTGACCAGCTGCTACATGGTCTGAAAAATGCCTGTGGTCTGTTCCTAGATTTCTAAATGTGATATGATTCAAATAAGGTCTCTCCGTGTAGACTTGTTCCTCATAGGTAAGTTTCCTTGTTCAGGTGAGACCAAAGGCAGCCAGCACTGTGTGTACTTTCAATTCTTTCTTTAAAAAAAATAAAATAATTGTCACTAAATTTTTTAATGGAAAAGGCTATGTGCATGTGAGGATAAAAGGCAACAGGACCAGAGGGTATGCAATGGACAGTGACTCCTCCACCCCGCGGGCCCTAGTTCCCTTTCTCACAAGCAGCTCTGTCAGCCTAAACCCCAGCCTGGCCGTGCGTGTCCTCTTCTGGGAAGGAAGAGGGATGGCATCGGGGTTTGTCCTGCCCGCTTTGGGGCTGTCGTAACCAAGTCCGTGAGAGAGGATTGAGGAAAACCTAAGACACTTACACCGCAGCAGGGGCTCTTGTTGCCACGGCCGGCTGGGTGTTGACCGATGGGGTGAGGGTGCAGCTGGTGGGGTGACAGCAAGCATTTTAATGCTGGCTTGGGAAAGTGTCCCCACCACCCAACAGCAAGGCAGCACAGAGTGTGCACAAGGCCAGCCTCTTGCCAGATGCTGTTTTTGCTATTTTAACCCCAGGGCCTTGTACAGCCAGCACGCTGAGGCTGTCGCGAGGTTGCCGAGGCCTTCTGGAGGCTCAGGTGTGGAGGCAACAAGGCCCAGGAGGGCTCTCGCAGGTGCACTGCCCCCGCAGCACAGCTGGCAGGCCCCCCGGGATGCTGGGGTGAGGCCTTTACCCTCATTCCGTCCATGGGGGGACTTTCAGAGATAAGAAGCTCAGCTTGTGTGTAAAGGATTTTTACCTGCGTAGCTGGAGACAGACTTGCCCTCTTGTGGGTGGAGGCTCTGAAGTCACAGGCCTTGTAAAGACATAGCCTCTCATGGATCCCCAACACCGCCCTGGGCAAGGTGTCAGTGACAGTTGTCCCACTCCAGATCAGTAATTAAGGAACAGAGTGACATTTTCTCCCTCCCTCCCACCATTCTGCCTCCCATGTTTTATTAAAGAAACAACAAGAGCAATGATATCACCAGACAAGAGCCACGGAGCCTCGGAGACGACACGAGACGCAAAGCCTCCATCTGTTATGGAGGAGACGAGAAATGGGCGTCGACTTCCAGCTCAGGATAGCAGGCCTCTGAACCGGCTGCCATAGCCTGGAAGCAGCAGCAGCTAAATTCTGCTTTTGTGGTTTATTCTGTCACTTCTGCAAACGAATTCATCAGTTCATTGAACAGGGCCCTTTGCCTTAATCTGGGGCGGTGCCCCGTGGAAAGACTGGATGATCATGGCTTCCTATTATGAAATAAGGAGAGCATTTTTTGATTAATGGCACAAAAGAGCAGAACCCTTTTATTTATTTTTTTTTACCAAAAATAGCATTTAGGAAAGGGACTGGCTGCATGCCCAAGATGGACTGTCAGGTCTGTTCTTCCTCTCTGATATTAGGCAGCGTGCTGGTCTCCTCTTGCCCTCGCCGCAGCTCTAGGTGGGACCCACGCTGCGCAAGTGCCTTGTTTGACATTATTTCCCTCGAGGGAAGTCGTAAATATGGGCCAACTGTCTCCTGGTTGTGGGAGGTGCCCACTGGCGGGAGACTCAGCTGCCCACAGACAGCAGCGCCCAGGAGGGGAGAGGAAGGAGCTGGGTCGAGGAGACAGCTTCCCCCTTCCCGGAGGCTGGGAGATTGTCGGGTATCTTTCCTGATCTCTGGTTCTTGGTGTCAGAAGATGATGTTATCATTTAAGATGGGCAACTGGGGTAATTGGATGGAAGCTGAGAAAGTGTGAACTCAAGCAAGTGGAGGTGAAGCAGTGCGTGCATGGGCCTGGCAGGGGGGTTAAGAGCGATGCTTTAGAGTCGAGCAGACCCGGGTTTGTAAGGATGAAATAAAACTGTGCATGAAAGGGAGGAGCACAGTGCCAGCTATGGAGTGAGGGTTTCATGTTTGGGAACTGCGAGCCGTGGCATCAACAGGAATCAAGTGTCCAGGCAGCCAGAGTTAGAAATCAGGAGTGCCACACGTCAGGGACCACAGGGGACAGCTGTTTGTTCATACTTAGGTGCGTATGTTTGGGTTTTTTTGCATGTGTGAGCACTCTGGCTCCTTATGAGAGTTCCCAGGTCACTTCGTGAGGCTTCTCTTAGACTCGGCTCAGGCAAGCTTAGGGCTCAGTCCCCAAAGCCTTGTTAGCCCTGGTTGTCCCTGACGTCGTCCCCACAGCCTGTCCACGTCAACAGCCCCGTCGCAGGGATCCATGGCCACACACACCCGGGGGCCAGCTCCGGGACCCCTGAGCAGGCAGACGTGGCCGGCACGGGCCGCACTCGCACCGAGGATGGCCCACAGGAGACTGGGATTCTATCGGTGGGACAGTGGGGGCCACGGCAGAGGTCGAGCGGGAGCGGGGTGCAAGCAAGGCTGTGTCTGGACAGAGGATTCTGGCAGCAAGACTGGACGGGGACAGGCCCAGGCAAGCCAACCCTGGCTGCACTCAGCCAGGCAGGCGGTGAGGGCCTTAATTAAAGAGCAGTGGAATAGTTCTAGAACCAATGATCAGCTGGAAGTGGAAAGGAGAAGCCAGCTTCACTGCAAAAGGAAATTAGAGAGGGACAGGATTGGGGTCGAGGGGCAGGGCTTGAAAATATGAAAACAGTATTCTGGGACACACTGAATTTGAGGCGCTTCTGAGACATATGTCAAGCGTAAGAGCTAACATTTAGTAAGGCCAACCCAAGGTGCTAAGCACCTTACACATATCATTTAATTTAAGCCTAACAGTGCTATAAAATAGGTGCCATGATTCCCATTTCACAGATGAGGAAGCTGAGGCACAGTGAGATTAAGTAACTTGCCCCAAGTTACACAACTAGTAACGGGTAGAGCCGGAAGTTGACCACAGGGCATCTGGGCTCAACGCCACATGCTCTTAACGTCTACACTGCTGCTCTGTGACATTTGGACACCTGGGTCAGGCGCTCAGGGCAGATCTGAGCTATAGCTGTAGACCTGGAGTCATCTGAGGCCAGGAGAGTGCTTCAGACCTGTGGAGAGCCAGCCAGGGAGCATTTCCGGTGTCAAACGTGGCCTTTGGATTAATAATTAGATGTAAGTAACCACATCACTGAAGCGCCTGCAAACTTGAGGTGTTGCACAGGACAGCAGGCTGTGTCTTAAGCATCACTGCCCGAGGTCCACAAGCCCCTCAAGGGTGCTTTGCCCAGAGGAAGGGGGAGGCAGGACAAAGTAGGGTAATCTGGTTGACAGCAGCTTCAGGACGAGCCCTCACGAAGACACAGGCAGAGGACAGGTCCCAGTGCCTCCTAGCCTTCCCGGAGGCCAACCCAAGGCAGGGAGTGGGGGCAGGCACAGCACGTCAGACCTGCAGGCGGTCTGATGGAGAGGAATCCAGACTGCTCTCTGAGAGCCTGCCCTGCAGGACTTGCCTAAAGCTGCTCTTTCCTAGGGGCTAAGGTTCAGTGTTTCAAAACTTCAGATAAACCCAAATCACAGAAAGCCAATGCCCTAAGGGACATTAGAGGACATCTATTTCAACGCCCCCATTTTCCAGATGAGGACACTGAAGCCCAGAGAAATTAAGTGACTTGGCCACACTGCCCAGCAGGTGTGGTGGCAGAGACACTAGTTCTCTGTCCCAGGATGGTGTAAACAGCCGAGGAGGGACAAAGCAGGCACCTCTGCCTACTGAGATTGTGCAGCTGTGACCTTGTTTACTTTGGAAAGGGCTCCCTCTTAGGATGATGGCCAGTTTCCTTCCCTCTTGCAAGGCAGAGCCTGTTGGGGTTCTACCAAAGCTGCCTTTAGCCTTTTCTCTCCTCTGCATAACCGCAGTCAAGTTCTACAGGTTAGACTTATTAAGGTCAGAGTGCTCTGAAGGGGAGGAGGTCGCAAAATGAGGGAGAAGCTCTTAGCTCGAAAGCTGAAATCCTTTCTGCAAACCACAGGCCCTCTCTCCTGTGACCACTCCTGCTCCAGCGACCCTCGGCCTGCACAGGCGAGAGCCTACGCAGATATTCTGATGCAATGCTGCAGGATGCTGACACCCAGTGGGGGCTTTGCGGCTGCTGCTCAGCAAAGAAATAAGCAGCACACACAGTCATTCCACTTCTCGGAGGCTGGAGATCCCCAGGCAAAGGAAAAGCGGTTCCCTTTGGATTGTACTCCCAAGCCCTTGCTACTCAGAAATGGGACTCTAGGACCAAGGGCATCAGCATGTCCTGGAAGCTAGTCAGAAAAGCAGACTCTCAGGCCCCCCACCCCAGACCGACTGAGTTGGCATCTGCCCTTTAACAAGACCCCCCGGTGATTCCTGGCAATGGTGCAGGGGAACAGCGCCATGCTAGCCTCCTCTTTCTTTCCCAGAGCCACCTGCCTACGTTGCCAGACCAAGGATCTATCACCCAGCAAGGTCACCCACCTTAAATGCAGCCAGCAAGCACTGCAGCCCTTTCTGCTTCCCTCAAAACCTCCAAAAGGTAAGTTAGGACCCAAAGGTTAAGAGAGAAAGCTCTTTGCTTTACAGGACAAAGGCTTCTTTTTACAGGACTCAAGGCTTCTCAAGAAAGGAGACAGATGTAAGTATTCAAAGAGCAAAGTCGTCTGGGGCTTTTGCTTCCGGGCAGTGACCCCGCAAAGGTCCCCCAGGGCATTGCTGCTGCGTAAGGCTGTCTGATATCTGACACTACGGACACGATTCTGAGTGCTGTAACAAGTTAATTTATATTCATCATTCCCGGATTATTAAAAGACAGCTGGGCAGTACATTTTAGATATTCTTAAAAAAACCTTGGGAAGAAAAAGGTCCTAGCATACAAAAATTATCTAGACAGTTAGCCTATGTGCAAGAATCCTTCCTCCCCCACTAATGCCAGCTCCCTGAGGTGGTCCTGTATCTCCGTAACTCTTACTCTTTTGCTGATGAGGGGACCTACCCCCGTCCCCAGCCAAATAGTATTCTCAGCGGTTCCTGCTGGTGGCTGATAAAACACACAGGAGTCAAGGATTTTTTTTTAGACTTTTTTTTTTTTTTTGGTTTGTTTTTAAAGAAACTGCATACATCATCAGAGACAAACAATAATTTAAATACCATGCAGTTTCTGTATGTACAAAACCTAGGCCATAGAGATCCAGTTTACTTTGTACTCTATTTACATGGTTCTTCCTCATACAGCCCGTCATCTGTTAAATTAGAACACGGGAGAGCGCTCCCATACAAAGACGAACTATGTACAGACACCCGGGAAGCAAGTGGAAAAAGCAACCGGTTTGGGGATGAAAAGACGAATGAGAAGAAAAAGTCGTTTAAGGTGACCTTCGCCCACTGGCTGTGCACAGGGAGAGTCTGAAATTCCATTCATCGAAGCACACACCACGAGTTTCATTCGGCAAATATAAATACACGTTCATAAGCGGGAGAAAAATAAACTCAGAGGTTTTCATCACATCTACCGTCACATTGTTTGGTTTCTCTAATCTGACATAAAGGCTAAAGTTTTAAAAGTTTTACAGGGCTTTGAGGGCCTTTGGGGGGGGTGGGTATATGTCAGCAATTCCGAGAGAGTATGTAGGCAGATGGCTGTCTCTTCTGTCATGGAGTGGGTGGGAGGTCGGGCCAATGTCTAATTTTGAGAGGAAAGCATTTTGATTTGAGAAATTTCACATTTTGCCTCTCATGCTAATCCAAATGACAAAAGGCTGAACTGGGAATTTATAACACACGAGATAAAACTTGAAAACTACAGCTTTCTTAGAAAAGAGATGCATTTTAAACCACCTAGCCCATCTCTCTCTTTTTATTCCCTAATTAATGTCAAATTGTCATCTTTGAAGGTAACACACATTTTTCAGTTGTTGTAACAATGTGGCAAAAAAGAAATTTGGATAGATTTCTAGAAAGACCTCAAGATTTCAAGAAAGACACAGCAGAGGGCCCGCCCTGTGGTCTACTGAGTATGCTGAGCCACTTACAATGGGCTGCAAGTAGCCCACTTCGATGGTGGAGGAGTTTTAGTGGCATGGGAGGTGCCCCCCTATCTCTGTGCAGGTGACTTCTGGAAAAGGGTGCTCTGCAGGAAGAGAAGTAGAAACTGTGTTCACTTTCTTCCATGCACCAAGTGGACCGCAACACTAGGCGGACTGCACTTTGGGTGGAAACCCTGGCTGGCTGCAGCGACATCGACTTGGGCGTCATGTTCCCTGGGAATCTGAAAGGCCCAAGAACCAAGGCCAGCAGAGAAGCCCCTGGCCTTCGTAGGAGGAGTCCAGGCAGTGGAATGAGTTCCCTTAGGACTCGCTCCTGGGCCAGGGGAAGGCCTGACTGCCATGCCAGGTGCTGCGGGCCACCTGCCGCACAGCTGTGAGATAGAGAAAGCTCAGACTCAGCCCCTGGCAAGGCGGGCTCCTCCGCCTGGAACATGTGCCTGCCATAGAGGAGTGAAACGAAAGAGCCCTACATCTCGTCATACCATTTGCACATTCAAATGTCAGTAAGCCTTTTGGGAAGACGGTGTTTACAGCTACACTAAAATCCTGACCACATTTTCCCTGAACGATACCTCTCCCCACGGCAGTAACTATTGAGATTCAACATTCAAAGAAAAAAAGGACCCAGTGATGGCGGACTCCTGGGGGTGGGCAGTGGCGGGCTCGCTCCAGGGGGTGCGAGGAAAGCATCTGACAGCTTTGCCACAGCTGCTGGCCACTGCCTAAAAAGCTGCCCTGAGCTCCCCCCAAAATATGCACCGCTCCTGGGTTACTGCTGGCCACAGGAGCAGTTCATGCCTGCAGAACATTAAATGGCCTCATTGATGGGTGTGCATCCCAAGAGTCACGTGCTTCCCCCACAGTTCAGGGTGGGGAGTGGTTAACTCTTTTTTTGTGAAGGCCAAACTGGCATCTTTCTAAATTCTGGGCATGTGTGGTGGAGCGCGAGCCATCACCTGGAAAGATCGTGGTAACTATGAGACCACTGCAGGAGGCCAGGCAGAGCTTTGCGATGGAGGGCCCCACAAGCTCTGTGAGGAAGGAAAACAAAACGAAAGCAGCTGCAGTGGCCTTATTAAGATAGTTGTTAGGGTTTGGGAGTTGTCCTTCCTCTCTCTGTACATCCTACCCTCGGTGTTGCCCTGTCAACAGAGCCCTCTTTCCTGTGGTCCCAAGTGAGGAGGACAGTTAGAAATACATCTCAAATGTGTAATCATGCCTCTCACCAGCATCATGAGGGAGAGGAAGGATTCTCTCTGGATAACAGGAGCGGGAAGGTACAGCATTGCAGGCAAGGCTGGTGTTTGCACGATTCTGGATATGCTGAACCCTGGGGCTTCTCCATAGAAACTCTTCAGTACAAAAAAAAGGAGACTAGAAGGCTATCAAGTAGTACCAGTCCATCAGTGACTGGAAAGCCAGTCCTTAAGGAATGGTTTCTGGCCTGCATGCACTGGTCCTATACTCAGAGGCCATTAACTTCCAAGCCATACAGTCACTGGCCCTGGGGCACGCAGAGAAAATGAGGAACATTAGCCAAGCAGTTTCTTACTCCAGCCTTTGTGCCCTCAACAGGCGCACGCCCTTGCATTCATACTCACAACCACCACAGAAGGACCTTAGCAGTGGCTGGCTGTGTGTGTAAGATCACCTGTGACATTTGGCTTTTTTGATATGATGGGTCAATTAGTTTGAACTGAACAGATGACAACTTTCCCCTTCTAAACCAGAGCTTCCTGGAAGGCAGCTCAGCTCAGTCGGAGGGGACAGGACGGGTGCTCAGTGCCAGCCTTCCACACCTGGAGCGCACACACTGTCAGGACCGGCAGTCAACCAGACTCCCCCGGAAAAGGGCTCTTCCCTTTTGTTCACTGCGTGGATGATGGCTGAAGGGAGAGAAAGGACAGGGGCAACTGAAAACAGTGCTCCCTCTCAACAAGCTTCTCTTAAGGGGCCCCCAAACCAGATGCCATGCCTGGAGCCAGTGTGTTTGGCCAAGTCTAGAAGGCCAACCAGATCATTTACTTTGCACGATCATCCCCAGGCCAAACCCACCGCCTCAGCTTTCTTTGGACTCAGGTGACAGACATTTTCGAGGAAGAGGTTCACTGGAGCCTAACTGAATGGGGCACCTGCCAGGCCTGGCCGCAGAGGACCAGGGCTGCTCCGAGTGCCAGGAAGTCTTCAGTGAGGCTGTGCCGGTGCCCTCGGCCCTGCTGGGGACGGGATACAGTTCGGTACCAGCAGTGGTCCCAGCAGCTCTGACCACGGAGCAGTCACCATCGCGTTTTCACAAATAGAATCCTGATTGTGTTTCCTTTTATTTTTCTTCTTCTTCTTTTTAAAAAAGGCAGTTCAGAAGATTTACATCGTGATGGGGAAGTGAATAAATACCAGCACTTATGGTTCTTATAAATTTATGTTTTGAAGACAGCATAGCACTCAAGAGGAATTCGACGGTTAAGGTCGGTGGAACCTGGGAAAACAAATAATTAAGACCAAGGGGCTGTCAAAGATGTCAGGTTCAACAGCCCAAACTTCCCATCCTCAGATTCCTTATCTCTGACAGCGACGGGGAGCTTTAAATCTCCAACCAAAGGCACGTCCCCACAGAACTCCTCCCATCCTTGAGGCCCCCCAGATTCACCTTGGCTTTTGGAGTGGTTTAATCTGGAGCTCCTCGGGGCCCCATGGGGTGGCCCTGGTGGCACTCAGCCCATGCCCTCAGCCTGGACTCAGCACAAGGTGGAGAACCCGCCCTCGACCCTCCGAGTCTGAGTCCAGGCACTGCCCCTCTAAAGGCTCATAAAGGGGAGAGTCATGAAAATTCAGTCGGTGGCTCCATCACTAACCAGCCATGTGACCTTATACAAGCCCCTTAAATCTCTCCATGCATCAGTTCCCCCTCAGATAGCACCATACGAGACTCTCTGGGAGGATGATACAGAATCACAGAAGTGAACCCACTTTGGAAGTACCAGATTTGGCATTTTGCCCAGGTTTGGCCTCTGCTCACTGGCTGTAAATGGGGGCAATGATCTTTCCTCTTAAGCTTCAGCTTTCATGAAAACCCACTTTGGGGTTTAGATCTTCAGTGGCCCTACTGGCCCTTAGATCATTAGTTTGGATGAGTTAAAAACTAGGCTTTCAGGGCTAGCGCCGGTGGCCTAGAGGTTAAGTTCAGGTTGCTCTGCTTTGGTGGCCCAGGTTCGGTTCCCAGGGGTGGACCTACACCACTCATCAGTGGCCATGCTGTGGTGGCAACCTGCATACAAAATAGAGGAGGATTGGTACAGACAAATCTTCCTCAAAGAGGAAGATTGGCTGTGGATGTTAGCTCAGGGCCAATCTTCCTCAGCAACAAAAAAACACGAAAAAACTAAACAAACAGACAAATACTAGGCTTTCAGAAAGCTGCTTTTAGCCTGGGCCTTTCCTGCTCCTTCCCCTAGTTTCAAGAACCACAGTGGAACTTCATATCAACCTTTCTTCTATCTTCTCCCCCACTGCACCTACCACACCACCTGTGATCCAGAAGCAGACTGGATAGTTTAGTTTGTAATATTTAATAGTATGTAATATTTAGTTTTAAATATTACAATTTGAGGGGGAAAAACCCAACTCCATACTAACCTTGTTAAATGTCTACTCAATTCATGAACTTCCATTTCAGTGCTTTTAAATTCATTGAGCTCCTTTCGAATGGCAGCCTGGAATGAAGAGAAGCCCATGAATATGCAGAGAAGGCAGATGGAAAGAAGTTCACTTTTTATTTTATGTTGAACTATTTTCTTTCTTCGACAAAGCCATACAAATGTGTAAGATGGATTCTTCCACTGAGTGGAAAGAAATCATCTGAGACATCCTTTAGAACCTACTAAGAATCCCCCTCCTCCTAAGTGTCTATGGCAAATGATGATATCTGGGCTCTCACTCAGAGCATCTCTGTCATCCTGTCTTGACAGAGCTGGTCCAGCTAGGCATCCATAGTGCGTGTGCCCCTGCCCCACACTCCTGGGCTCCCCAGTACACATTTAAATGTCAACCTCTCATCTTCCTTAGCTCATCACAGGCACAGAGGTGCCTCAAGATGGACACTTCTAGAAGGAGTGGATCAAATTTCCCAACCAAATTAAGGGAACGGGAGATGGCGAGCTCCTCCTTTCTCTGTGATGGATAAAGCCTTCGCTCTTTTATAACTGTATTGACTCAGGTGATATATTTCACCATAAAGGGTGTGGGATACGTTTTGAATAAGCTCAGATATTCTGAGATAACCCTGAATAACTGCATCCTTACAGCATGCTCACAGATGTGGCTGCAGCCGAGCGGGGAGGCTGGGCAATCAGACCGCAAGGAGACGT